CTGATCTAATAGATGTAGGGTAGTGGCCCTCAAGCACCAGGACTGGACACCCCTGATCTAAAAGATGCAGGATAGTGGCCCTCAAGGACCATCTTAAGGTGATACTCCTTTACAGTCTCAAACGCCTCTACGTTCTTCAGCTAAGCAGCAGCAGCAGAACTTCTCCACACATTAGCACCGTCCTGACACGTCTTATGATGAGCGCTCCATGAGAAGCTTCTTCTTTTTGTTCTCGTTTCTTTGACAGAGAGATGAAAGCAGCTGATTAGGAGACGCTGCAGTGCACATCGAGGCTCTGCAGAGTCCGGTCCAGCCTGTGATCAGAACCACCGTTCTGACCCTCATGTCAGCAGAGGGGGGGACTCAGCCGTTATCGTGGCAGGAGCAGCGAGCTCATCTGGTCCGTTCCGTTTGGCCCTCGCTGGCAGGACTCTGCCTCCGTTTAGACAAAAACAAAAGGACTGCTGAGTCAGCGTCCAGCTTCAGCTAATTAACACGCTTTGTGGAGAGCAATCAAGGCTGGGGTGGATTCTAACCACGCACGTTTAGCGTGTCACTCAGAGTCAATAGTGGGGGGCGGCAGAGTGGGCTTGGCTGTCAGCAGAGCAAAGACGCCACAGCTCAGGGGATCACCGGCGGAGATGAGCTTTTCTGTGAGCGCGAGAGGAAGCGATCCATCGAGCCGTCCAGCCACCCAACCGGCGCCTCCTCCCCCGAGGGAAGGCGTGTGGGGAGGCTGAGCGAGGACCGGCCAGCCGATAAGACCGGAACCTGTCACCAATCCTAATCCTCCATCACTCACAGGACAAAGCCCCCTGTCCGCCGCGCACCTCTCCGACTGCGGCCGCATTCAAGGCGTTGAACAGTCGGCTTCCAGCTGCCCGCAGAGATACCCGGGGCTCGAAGCGGGCGGGGCAGCTGGCACCGCTCGCACTATCGCACCAAGGCAGCACGCCGCTGATTAATAAAAAGGTCAGCGCGGCACGATGATTAATGTTCAAGTGATTGCACCGTTCAGGCTGCAGGTTTGCATCCGTGTGCGCTCGGGGAGAGTCGACAGCGGTGCGCCGACAAATCACTAACTTTAAAAACCCCGGACAACATCTAGATTGTCGTCGTTTCCACGACGGCTTATCTGCGCTGCACAGAACATATCCACGTCTCTGAACGCCATCAAACACCTAAATACCGTATTTTCAGCCGTACACGTCGCACCGCCCTATACGTTGCATCTTTTATGCGTCACCGCTGACGCGCCGCATTTGTTACGAGTCACCGCTGACAACCTGGAAACGTGGGCAGGTGTTGTGCCAAAAATCGATGGGCTGCCAAATGGTGGCCACGGGAGGACTTCAACAAGAATTTAACAAGATTAACTCTTAAAAACAATTATTTGTTTGCTCGAAATTATAGTAAAGGTGTGTCTCAGTCGAACTTTTGCTAATAAAAAGGACTTTAACGGTCAAATCAGCTGCATTTGAAAAGACAAAGGAGATGGTCGTGGACGTCTGAAGGAACAAACACACCTACACCCCCCCTGAAAATAGGATCTGCGATGGAAGTGGTCTCCAGCTACAAGTACTTGGGTGTACACATGAACAACAACCTCAGCTGGAGCAACAACACCACCAGCCTGATCAAGAAAGCTCATCAGAGACTCTACTTCCTCAGACGGCTGAGGCGAGCTGGTCTGGGAAGCTCAGTCCTCACCTCCTTCTACAGGTGTGCAGTGGAGAGCATCCTGTGCTCCAGCATCAACGTGTGGCATGGAGGCTGCACAGCTGCAGAAAGAAAAGCTTTGCAGAGAGTGGTGAAGGCTGCACAGAAGATGTTGGAGTCAGTCTCCCCACCATCACAGACATCTACACCTCCAGATGCAGGAAGAGGGCCACCTGCATCATGAAGGACCCCACTCACCCAGCACACACACTTTGCCTCGCTCCCCTCAGGAAGGAAGTTGAGGAGCATTAAGTGTAGAACCACTAGACTGAGGAACAGCTTCTACCCTGAGGCTGTTAGACTCATGAATCTCTAACCAGTATAATCACTGTGAAAAAAAAAAATCACATGTTGCTGCTGATCTGTTTCATGTTGCTGCTGATCCGTTTCATGCTGCTGCTGATCCGTTTCATGCTGCTGCTGATCCGTTTCATGTTGCTGCTGATCTGTTTCATGTTGCCGTGTTCATGCGTGCTCATCTGCTCACACAGACTCATGTTCGTGCTGCTGTCTGACGTAATGTTTTTATGCTACTAGTGCTTAGTGCATCATTTAGCTGATGTTTTTCTTAGTTCATATCTTAGATCTTATTACTGTTTTTCTTTTACATTTTATTGTTTGTTGTAACTGGGACCCTGCGTACATCTCGTTCCACCACGTGTTTCTTTGTCAGAAACAGATCCTGTCTAACTCTGAACGCTAGGAAACATCTTGTAACTGTGACTTTCCTTCCCTTCATTGATTACGGTGACATTATTTACATGAACGCTCCTACAAGAACCCTGCAGATGTTGGATGCTGTCTATCATGGTGCACTAAAATTCAGAACTGGCTGTGATTATCGTACCCACCACTGCACCCAGTATTCACTGGTTAACTGGTCATTAACTTCATGCAGACTCTCTCACTGGTACATTTTCATCTTTAAATCACTTCTTGGTCTGCTGCCTTCATACATCTCCTCCTACATGTCTCTGCGTGAGTGCAGCTACAGCGTGCGCTCTCAGGACATCATTACCTGCAGTGTTCCCTCAGTGCGGACTGAACTAGACGAAAGAGTCTTCTCCTACTCTCCAAGTGGCTTCAAACATCTGCTAAGTTCCTGGCAAGAACCAATGCAGACATGTTCCTGTTTTTAGTTTTCTACACCGCCTCATAATCTAGCTGTTTTTTCTTCGCTACTATTCAACTCGACTGTCCTTTAAGTTGCTACTTTGTTTTGATTTGTAAAAAATAAAATTCAAATCTGCATGCCTATTTTATGACAGTTCGTTGTTGTCGTTATCCACCGTTGTCATTGCTCTGTTAAGAAATCAGGTCTCTCTTGTAAATGAGTCCTCGAGGCTCAATGGGATTAACCTGTTTAAATAAAGGTTGAATGAATGAAAATAAGAACATATGCCTTCAATTCAACTTTCCACCAATCGGAAACAATTAAAAAAAAAAATGATTAGTTCTCATTTTTAATTTCCTGATTTTATTTTGACCAGATTCTTCAATTCCTTTCATTATAATTAATTTTTATTTTTATTTGGTCATATTTATATGAACTGATCTCATTTGATATAAAGTTAAAATGAAGATTTATTTAGCATCTCTGCTCATTTCATCAGAAGAGTATGATTTTGTTTATTGTTACAAGAAATCGGGGGTTTTTTCTTATAAATCTGTGATTTAATGTGATTTTCGGGTGGAGGATTCCGACGTTAATCTCGGGATTATGAAGGAGTTAAAAAAAAAAAGAGAAATCTGGAAAAACAAAAAAAGTCAAAATTCTGATTCCTGAAAATTCTCAGAATCATGAGGAAAATATCAGAACTGTAACTTTAATCTCATAACTCAAGACTTTGATTTCATATTTGTGAGAATCCACTCATGAGATTAGAATCAGAATTCAGAGATTAACGTCAAAATAAACTATCCACGTTTCACAATTCTGACTTAAATCTCAAAATTATATGGAAAAATATGATCAAAACTTTTTTTTTTTTTAACTCTCAATTTGTACACATCCTTTATTTTGTCTATTGTTGTCCACTGTTATCGCTCTGTTAAATTCAGGTCTTTCTTATAAATGAGTGCCCATGGCTCAATGGGATTAACCTTTATAAATAAAGATTGAATGACTGTCCTCTTCTGTACATTTCATTAAAATGTGTTAAAAAAATTCACTCATAGCTGCTCTTAGGTGTAACTTCCAGTTTCCATGTTTTAAATTTAAGTAATTTAAACGGTGCTGCGCACGTCTGAACAATTTATTTTCAAATAAATTTATTTTATCGGTCAGAAAACTAAATATTAAAACGTTAGCATGGTTGTTAGCCGCTAACGCTAGCCAATAATGCATATCTAAGCGTTAGCCGCTAACGGCTAAGGTTAGCCGCTAACGGCTAAGGTTAGCCGCTAACGGCTAAGGTTAGCCGCTAACGTTAGCCGCTAACGGCTAAGGTTAGCCGCTAACGTTAGCTTCGATGTTGATGACATAACCAGCAGAAGTCACGTGACCTGCCCAGGTACATGGAGCAGTCAAAAGATAAAGGAAGTTTGCTCTGAAGTAGCTCCTTTAGGGCAATAAAGTAAAAATAAAAAGTCCATGAGAAGTAAATATTGTGTTAAAAGTCTTTGAGAGTGAGTTTGTGTTTACCTGCTCCAGAACCCGGCGGTACCTCCGCGTCGCCTGGTCCACCAGGTCCCGCACGGTCCACCCAGCTTTGCAGGGAACCACCACGGCCGTGTCCCCGAAAGTTACCGTAACTTTCATGTCTGCCGCGAACCCACCGCGTTAAAGCAGCTAAACAAACCCCAGCTAAACAAAGAGGGGTGAAAATAAACAAAACAAACAAAAAAATAAATAAAAACCGGAGGCGGAGCTGCTGCCAGCCTGAAAGACGAAAACACCTGTCGGAACCGGAGCAACAGGTGTGTCAGGTCCGGTGGAATCACGGAGAGTTTCCCGGGTCAAAGTGAGGCCCTGAGACTGAGGACGTCTTCATTCACAGAAAGGTGTCGTGAACGTGGACTGAGCTGAAACACACGAACCAAACAAACCCAGGAGGCAGGAGCTGGAACCCGGAAGAAATCTGTGCGCCTCCAGGAGCACACGCGCACACGCGCGCTGAAACCTGCTCAGGTACGGCAGGTAAAGGACGCTGCACATCACCTGCCACCCTGAAAGCCAGGGACACACCTGGCCGCTTGTTGGGGGTGACCCTCGGCTACTACCACACCGAATTTTAGCCCGATAGCTCCAACGAAGCAGGCTCGATGTGCTCTGGGCTCGACTCCAAAATAAACCAGTTGTAGAGGCACCTCCAGTGATGGAGTTTCACTGAACTGTACGGAAGAGCATTAGAGACACAGTGAACAAAAAAAGTCAGTTCAGATTAAAAAATATATATATGTTGTTTATCGCCAAATTCTGACATCGACTTTAATCTCAGAATTCAAATGGGGGGAAAAAGACAGAATTCTGACTTTAATCTCAGAATTTTAGACTTTAATTTGACTTTAATCTCAGAATTCTAAGGCAAAAAAAATAGAATTTGACTACTAATTAGCGAGACAATGACCCCCAATTCAAGATGGTTGACACAGCTTTTTAACCCTAGCAAACACAAAAATGGCCATAACGCAGTAAAGATTTGGTATTGTAGGTTAATCTCAGATATTAAAATTCAGAAAAAATGTCAGAATTCTGACTTTAATCTCAGAATTTAAAAAAAATTGAATTCTAAGACTAGTGTCTGAGTAGCAATACAGTGAATCTCGTTCAAGATGGCTGCCACAGCGTCTCAACCCTATCAAACACAAAAATGGATGTAATCTCAGAATTATGAAGAAAAAAGATAGAATTCTAATTCAAGAAGCAACATTTGAATTTTGATTTTCATAATTCTGGCGGGTATTCTCAGAATAAAGTCAAAATTCAGATTTTGTTTTTTTCTCCGAATTTTGACTTTTTTACTCAGAATTCGTAGATTGATGTTAAAAATTTGAGAATGGAGTTAGAATTCTGAGATTAAAATCAGGGTTTTGGAAAAAATATAAAAGTTTTTTCCGACTTGCCCCTAATCCTGTTCCATAAAAACCTGTCTAGTCATTCGTGAGATATTTTGCTAACAGAACAAGGTTGTCTCCAACAGTTAATGTGAATCTTCTGCAGTTTGTGTTAAGACAATCAGCTAAACCCTTGACCAATTTTAGCGCAACGTCCGTAAATTAATGGAGTTGAAAATGTTATTCTGTTAGCTCTGGCGGCCATTTTAAATTGTGTTGGCTCCAAAGTGAATCACTTACATCAAACAATTGTTTCATGGAAGTTTCGTTAAGGTTCACGAGATATTCCGCTAACAGACAATCAAGGGTCAAATAGGCACATTTTTAAAAAAAAGGCGTAGCCCGATATGTTAGCGCTCAGAAAACGTGACGGGGGTCAATCTCAGCTACTACCACACCAAAGTTTAGCTCGGTGTTTGTAACGTCGGCTGAGTTATAGTGATTTTTTGTTTTGTAGTTTCATTTCGGCTGTGGCGGCCATCTTGTTTCAGATGTTATACAAATGGTAATCAGTTGTAGATGTTATTACGTCCACTGATTTGTGGTATATTTTGCTAACAGACACAAGCAAACACGTCGTTCTTCACTTTTCTGCAGCGGGAAATGTTTATCTAAAATTTGGTGGCGAAATTTTTATTTTATTTTACTCATTTTGGTTCTGAAAACGCCAGTTTCTTCCTTACAAGATGGTAGAAAGTCTACGAGCTATAAATACATTAGCTCACCTTTTTCCACACTCTGATCCCCCTGCCACCTCGACACTAATTACCTTCCCATTACTCCGTGTCATTTCGTGTCATTAGGTGTGCGGTGAAATTGCCTTTATGGATATTAGCGGGCGCTGACAGGCTCCCTCGCATTGTTCGCTTTGGCTCTCTGGGATTTCCTCTCCGTCGTCGCATCAGAGAGCCACCGCTGCAAATGGATTCATAATTGGGACAAGCACTGACTTGTGTTTTTTCCGGCAGGACTTTCAGCCAAAATGCATGGAACCGAACGTTGATGGGGGATGATGGCCCCTTTTTGTCTCCCTCCACTTTGGACACAGTAAGGCGAAGCAAAGCAAAAGCAGCCAAAGCATGTCTGTGTGTAAGCCTGGAGGAGTTTGGGACAGAACACAATTACAAGACAAGCCCGATTATATTAATGTGTTGGATTAGGTCTGCGTGTGTTTGTCTGTTAGCAAAATATCTCATGAACCAGTTAAATCTTATAGCAATGATTGGACGAACCTCTACAGCTGATCAACTTTTGAAAGCAAAAATTGCTCCAAATCAGCCAGTCTTGCAGATATTAAGCTAAATTTCAGTGTGGTAGTAGCTGAGAGTTGGAGCTAGTTGTAGTGAGGACAGACTAAGATGGAGGATGATGACCTATGAAGAGAGAACAGTTAAAATAATAATAAAAATACATGTTTCCAGTAAATCCTTTATGTACTGGCAAAACAAAGCAGTGGTCCTAAAACAGAAGCTTGTGGAACTCCATTTTTGATGATATGAGGTTGATCTTGTCATATTACACACATTATTCTCTTTGTGTACCAAACCAGTGAGAGTGATTTAAGTGTTTTTAACTGTTTAAACACTCACGTTCTCCTGCTGCCATGTGTAATCAGCCACAGCATGTGTTCGTTTCCACACAACGTGGTTAAAAATGATGATAAAAAAGTTAGCTTTATCTAAAAAAAAAAAGACGCTTAAATTCAAACCTCAGATCACTTTGGTCATTGTTTAAAATTAGAGGTATAGGGATTGCAATTATAAGTGCTTAAAAAAGCCAAAAAATATCATCATGTTATTGTCTGTTAGCAAAATATCTCGTGAACCAGTTAAATCTTATAGCAATGATTGGATGAACCTGTACAGCTGATCAACTTGTGAAAGCAAAAATGGCTCCAACTCAGCCAGACTTGCAGATATTGAGATATTTTTTGGTGTGGTAGTAGCTGAGAGTTGGAGCTGGTTGGAGTAAGGACAGAATAGGATGGAGGAGGATGACCCCTGAAGGGATAACAGTTAAAATGATAATAAAAAGACATCTTTCAGGTAAATCCTTTATGTACCAGCAAAACAAAGCAGTGGTCCTAAAACAGAACCTTGTGGAACTCCCTTTTTGCTGATATAAGAGGTTGATCTTATCATATCACACATTATCCTCGATATGAACCAAACCAGTGAGAGTGATTTAAGTGTTTTTAACACTAAGTTAAAAACAAGTTAGCTTTATCTCCCAAAATGACGCTTAAACTAAAAAAAAGCCAAAAATTATCATAATTTTATACGTAAACTTTTACTGAACAGAAAAATTAACATTAAAAGAAGCAAAAGGAGAAATAATAAAATCCCAACAGCAAACATACGTTAAAAATTAACCTGCTAACTTTTTCAATGATGAAGCTAAAATTAAATATTATCTGCGACTTATGTTATGGATTACTAAACAAGTTACAAAAAATAAAAAATAACAGAAATTTATCAGAATATTTACACCGACTGATTAGGTTTGGGCATCGAATCAATTTAAAATGGCCACCACAGCCAATTCACCTGATCAAACACAAAAATGGCTCCTGATCAGTCAGTCTGAAAAATATTGAGCTAAAATTTGGTGTGGTAGTAGCTGAGAGTCATTCCTAATCTGTACTCTGAGTGTGAGCGGATTGAACAAAATGTGTTTTTAAAACTTTGCTACTAATATTTGGAGTCAATGTGTGTCTGTTAGCAAAATATCTCATGAACCGCTGCGTGGATTTTATTGAAAGTCTCAGGGATTAATCTTTGGGTCAGTGTAGACAATGGATTAACTTATGGCATCAATCCAATGTAAGATGGCCGCCACAGCTGACTAAATTATCTAAATGCAAAAACGGCTGTATTTCAGTTTTACAGATATTTACTTAAAAGTTGGCGTGGTCGTAGCCGAAACTGATCCCCAACACTTATTCTGAACAAAACATTTCACATTGCAATTAATTTTAAATTTTAAACGTCTGTAATTTTTAAATTGTGGGATTACAGCATTTTTTTATTTTTATTTTTATGGAACCGGTTTTTGTGTTTACAACTCTCAGGAAGTCGCGCTGCAGCGAATGTTTAGTTTCCATGTCAGAAACTATTTGACCTGAAAGTAAAACGGGTTCGACAGAAATTCCAGCCGGCGGTGTTTTGCATACTTTTGCTCGGTGATGTCACTTCCTGTTTAAAAAAAACGCTCCCAGCTGAAGTTGGTGAACTAAAGCACCATAAAGTCTTTCATGTCGGAACTGAAGATTAATTTTCACCAGTTTTCAGCTCTGACTCAAGTGGAGATCCTCTAAACGTTCCAATGAGCCCTTTTCTTTCTTCCTCGTCTTTTAAATCCTCCATTTGGAAGCGAGGCACGCTAGCCGAAGCGTCGGTCGTCAATAACAGCCGAGGAGCGCAGCTTTTTGCCGCTTTGTTCGCCTCTTCGAGTGCAATTTACAGGCCCTGGTTGTTCGGGTCGATAGCCGTGCTGATTTGCTTTTTTCTAAAGAGCAGAATCGACGTGTTCTCAGCGGCGGCGCCCTCGTGTTTCGGCTCAGCGTGAGGCCGAGGACGCTCGATCGCTGAGACTCGCTTCACTTCCTGCTGCTTTACAATTACGGAGCCCAAATCCGTATCGAGGATCGCTCCGGGTAAAGAACAAATAATGAGTGATAATAACAGAAGCTCTTGATTTCAGTTC